TAATAATTATTTTTTTGTAGTAAAGTACTAAATTTTAGTGTAAAATATATATATATATTTTAAAATAAGTTTATATGTTAATATTATCTAGTTTATTTAAACTCTACAAAAAAATAATTTTTATATACATCGGGGGATTGTGTAAATTTTATCGGTGAGGATTTGCTCTCGGAAGGGCAAAGATGAATATTGAATAATCAGACATAGTACGATCAGGTAGTATGTCCAAAGGGAAACAGCCCAGAATAAGAGTTTAAGGTTCCAAAATTATTTCTAAGTGAAAATAAGGAAGTTTTTTCTATAAACAATCAGGAAATAGGCCTAGGAGCGGCCATTTTTTAAAGATCTCGTAACAGAGCACTGATCAAACATACATTAAAAGCATCGACAATTTAACGGATCTAAAGAAATATACCGAAACCTTATCTATATTTATATATAAATAGCCTTTTTTTTTTCTTAAAAATATCTTTAAGCTCAGCAAGATGACAAATATTTAATAATGGTCCGAATCTGACTTATTTTCCCTTAAAAGATATTTCTAATCTCATCATTTCCTATTTATAAAATGTCAAACTTATTAAAGCACCTTAGCAGGCTAATTTTATCTTAAAAGAAAAAAAAATATATTATTATAAATAAAGGGTAGCAGAACGTTGAGAAAGATGAAAGTATATTATTAATTAATATAAATATATTAACTCAAGTGAGAATGCTGACATGAGTAACGAAAAACAAACCGGGGTGAAAAATAAACTAAAACAGATGAAGCTTTAGGGGTATGAGTATTACTCCACCAGGTATGTAGCCTTAAGCTTATGGTATTTAATTCAAGTAACGGCCTCTAAGTTTATTAACTTTCCTAAAGGATTAAACGATGAGTAAAATCTTTATATATAAAAACCCAATAAAGTGATTATCCTGGTCGTAGATTATTTAGTAACTATCTCTAAGTGTAAATTTGTACATATCAAGTACATATTAACATAAATAGACATTAATTAGTTACATAATTGTAAATGATTTACGATAGGGATATTTACTTTTTTAGTATATTGGTTCAGGTAAAATATATATATAACTAATATAAAGTAGAAGTAATAAACTTATTTAGCTAAAAAACCGTACCTAAATACTAACTCAAGTAAGCAAGTAGAGAATACGAAGGCTTTTGAGCTAACAATCATTAAGGAACTCGGCAAATTGACTCCGTAACTTAGGGATAAGGTGTGTCATTTCTGTTGGTATGTATATCAATTATTTTTAGAGACATACGTATCCAACATGAAAGAGGAAGCATAAAATGGTGTTGTACG